TCTTTCCCTTTTTTTTCTTTTTCATTTTTTATGTATTTATCTTGTTAGAAAAATGGGTTTATTGATTAACGAAATGTTTTTTTCCCTTGAAAAAAAAAGAAAAATTGCCACTTAGTTGGTTAAAGGTCTTGTTTGATTTATCATTCAAATTGTACTGATTTTTAGTTTAAATTGTGGAATACAAATTGTGATTATTTAAATTGCGATTCGAACCGATATTTGAATACGTAAATAAATTATAATTTAAATTAAGAATAAAATCTTAATTGTATTTGGATAAGAGTATTGAAAACTATGATTGAAGTTTTACAATAAATGTTATAAAATCTCATTGTAAACGACATTTAAATATGTAATACGGATGGAACAACATATAAGAAAAATAATCACCTCAATTATAGTTGAAACGAAAAAATTATTACATTTTTAAACTTGAAGTTGAAGAGAAAAAAATAAAAAGTATTGTATTTAAACTGTTGTCAACAATCTAGATTGTGAATTTAGAGGGGTATGAATTTTAAAATTAACCATTTAAATCATAATTGATGATTCAAATGGTTTCTCCTTATTTTTAAAACAAATACTAATTTAAACTTTTAGACACAATTCAAATTGAATTATTTGGTTCAAATAGTTGAACCAGACATTGAATTCGAACTAGAAGTAGTTTCATGCTCACTTTATATGTTGAATTTTAAATTTTAAAACCTTTTACTTTTTAAGTTCAAATAAGAGGAAAAAATAAAAATAAAAATAGAACTCAAAATGGTAAAAAAAAAAGGAGGTTTTATTTATGTCATTTTGCTCACAAATAAATAATTATCATTTAATTAATAAAGAGAAAATAAAAGACTGACGATAGAATGATATAAATTATAAGCATACACAAAATCATGACAATTATGTTATTTTTTCTTAAAAAATAAAATTTATTATTTTTATTAAGTCTTATACAAAGTTAAATATTTTGTGTAAAACTTACAATATTATATTTTATTTTATCATAAAAAATAGTATATTTCATTGAACTATGATGGGATATGAAATATTTCTTAATCTTACATAAAATCTAATTCAATTTGAATATTTGAATGATGTGGTGATTGAATTTGTTTAACTTTTCATGATTAAATCCCATATATAGAAGTAGGTAATTTAAAATATAGTTAATGATTATTATTATTAGTGTCCATTGAAGTTTAGGGTCATTCTCAGTTTGCCTTCAAACTTTAAAAACTCTGGGTTTGTCTCTTAAATTTTGACTTGTTTTCACTTAACTTATTCTATATAATTTATGTTAAAAATAAATAGAGAAAAATAGAGTAATGCAGAGTAGTCTTTGTGTTTGAATTTCTATGAAGAGCAAATAGACAAAAAAAATCACATAATCACATTTAATTTCTTCTTTGTTCTTTTGATTTCTAAAAATTCTTATAAAATGACTTAAATATGATATATTTAAAATTTATGAGGTCACGTGAAAATTTTTAAAATTTAAAAGGTAAAGTGAGAATGATCTACTAATGAAATTATCCTTATTTTAATTTATCCACCAATTACTATGTTGTGATCTAAAGTTTAGTCACTCGACGACTCGAGTAGTATTCAAAATAATCACAATCAATGCAATTCATTTTTAAAACAATGTTAAATAGAAAGGAAGAAAAATCCAAACATGATGTTGAGAGAGGAACAAGGGAAGGGCAGCTCATGATGAATGATGGAAGCTCACCTGTCCTCTACTGCTTTAATGGTCACTCACAGTCTCACAGACTCACAAGTCTCAACAAATCCACCCAAAGCAATTTCAGCCGTCGGATGAGATTATGATATAAATTCACTTTTGACCAGAGTGAACATTGATGCAGGGGTATTATGGTCATCGCAGATAGGAAGCCGCCAAAAGCGACGGTCCAGATCAACGGTGAATTCCCTGTTGGGCAAGTTGGCGTCTGTGGGCCTCCACCACACAGTCACAACTTAGCAGGCTACTCATTGGGTGCCCTCCCTACATAATTGTAAAGGGTTATAATCTCAAGGATATGGGTCCGCTTAGAGGGATCTGATTCCTACACGTGTCGATGGTTCACTGGATGGGGGAACCTGCACAGTGAGAGTGGAGCCCACACTACTGACTTTCCAATTAACTGTATCCACGTAAGTTGGTAGAAGCTCAAATCATGGGGCCGAGTGTAAGTGATCAGCGAACACATGATTGCAGCCCCTGCCTTTGTTAAACCTTTCAAGCCCAGCCAACCACCGCCTCTCACATCGCCTTTTTATTGTTCCTTTTCTTTTTTTTTTTTTTTTTTTTTTTGTTGCCCCCTCAATTTTCGTTAGGGGAACTGGGAATCCTTTTCTTTTTTTTTTTTTTTTTTTGGTTGCACTCTCAATGTTCGTTAGTGGAACTGAGTAGGAGAACGATACCATCTCCAAGCTCTTCTAAGAGCGCGTGGCACATCCTCAATCGCAAAATCTTTTTGCATGAGACAAATGCTGAAGGATACAAAAGTTTGGTTCAAAAAAACTTTATTCTATTTGGCGAAATTCATTATGTATTGAGAATAAGGAAACCGACACTAATTCAACACAGATATCACTTAATATTATTACGATAGTCATAATACATAAAAATCAATAGCATGACACATCACATGCTATCCCTTAATGTTGAATATCGAGACTATCACGATAAATTGATTGATGATCCAAATTGGATGGTCAAACCCCATGGAGATAGAGGTCAAGGAGAATGATCAATAAGAGGTTGTTTAGTTCGTTGATTCGAGTTAAGATATGATTTTATATGAGAGTTTTTCATTGTAATAAAAAAATTAAATGTGACTATTTCTGATAATTTTTACTGTAATAAAACTCGAATCGGTAAAATAAATTATACCTAAATAATTCGATTATGCATTAGAGGACTTTAAAATTGACCCATCGATGTTAAAGACCGAAGTACGCTATCAAGACAATATTGTCAAAATAGTATATTGATAGTTTGCTTCAAACCAGTGACAAAAATTGAGATAAATATTGAGTGTTACAAGTTTGAGTTAATCAATTAATATTGTGATACATTTTAATAATTTTGGAATATATATCAAAGAATACTATAGGATTTCCTTAATCATTTTCGCACAAGGAAATTCTTTGATACTTCTAAAATCTTATACTTATTGTGACATGTACCATTTAGAGTGAACTGGAACAATCATTGTGATTGGTCTATCCATCATTTACTTTCTTGTCAAAATTTTATTATTCTGTACTCTCATAACAATTGATATGGTTTAAGCATTGAAATATTTTATGCGGACATTCCTCACAAAAATGAGCGTATACAAATTATGCAGAATGACCAAAACAAATAGAGAAACACTGACGTTGAAAAATCCACTCTAATACCTTATAAGACAAGATAAGAAGAATATTACAAAAATGAAATTAATTACGAAAATAAAACTAAAGTTGGTTTTTTTATAGAAAACAAGGAAACCGACACTAATTCAACACAAATATACGAAATGTGAGGCTTCAATTTTAATCATTGCTTATGCAAAATACGACACAAAAGATGTACTAAACACTAATATTAATTTTTGGAATTGCATCAATACAGTAATTTTTAGCACCTGTAACAATTAAGTGATATATATATATATATATATTAAAAAAAACAGAGAGAGAGAGAGAAAAAACTACAAGAAGGCGCGTGTTGTCACGCGTAAGCCATGTAAGTTGTATTTCAACCCATTCCTCCGTGACAGTCTCAAGGCTCTCGACCAATACAACCAGGCGGTCCCCTTATGATGTGACCAACTGCTCCACTGCTTTTGTCCTTGTCATCTCTCTCTCCCCTCCCTATTCACTCACAATTCTACATCCCGCAAGGCTATTCTTGGGCAACCCAGTAAATTTTAGATCCCAGTAAACTTTTGTGGGCCTAAAGTACCTAAAACTTTAGGCCCATAGGTGAACAAAGTTCATTGCAAGAACAATAATATTGCACGATCATATTCCCCTTTCTATTTAATCTTTTTTTTTTAATGCCCCATTATTTGGTACGTACTTTGCAAAATGTTTGTCCCTCCATGTATTCAACAAACAGACAATCTAAGCCTTAACTATGATTATTAAGTAGAAGGAAATCATTGGGGGAATGTCATAGTCTAGTGTCCTTTTTTTTCTCACCTACGAGTAAAACCGGTGATGATTTGACTCCAAAATGTGTTAATTAGATGTTGACTTTCGTAACTAGATGGAGTGGATCCAATTCATGTTTAAACACAATTTGTTTCTTTTTTTTTTTTTTTTTTTTTTTTTTTTTTTTTTTCTTTTTTTTTCTTGTCTTTTTATGAAAATGACATATGCTTTAGGGGTTGTTCTTTTTATAATTATAACTTTATTTAAGTTTATATTCTTTTGTAAAATTTGAGTTTAAATTTGAGTTTGAGACTAAACTCGAGTTCAAGTTTTTTCTTCAACTCGAGTTCATAAACTCGAATTCAAGTTAATGAACAATATTTTATCTTTTCTTAAAAATATCATAACTTTTTCGTTTTAATTCTGATTGAGATGATTTTTTTTCTATGCATTTACAACGAAAAGATAAATAAAACCCCACCCATATATCATATTAAAAAAAATTTATCACTGTTGAGTTTTTATTAAAATATTATCTAAATATAAATTTAAGTTTTGACCCATCCAAACACAAACTCAAAAAGATTCTCAATTCAAATCATAATTCAAATGTATACATCAAAACACAAACCCAAGTTACAATTTCGATTCAAGTTATAACTCAAAATCATCACTCAAATCACTTTAA